TATCTGTGTGCGGATATATCTACATTGCTTTTCATAGGAAATGCGCTATTAAGTTTCCGTGATGTAAAATTTTATTTTTCTGCATTTCATCGAATAAGATACAATAATACAATTAAACTTATACATAAAATATAGGAAATAAAAACACATAAATGAATCCTCTAAAGAAATTTTAGTGGAATCGGGTCAGGACTTACGATATAGGAATGGACAAGAGATAGAACAGACCGAGCAACTGATTGTTAACGACTGGGCAAACAATCGGAACTCTACCGTATATACATACATTTATTGAAAAAATTACCAGAAAACAAGGCATCAACAATGTGATTGGATAAATCTAAAAACATTATGAAATTCTTTTTCGCTTACTGATTTCCATAAAAATATAACCGTACTCTATACAATAGGAACACATTCCACTCACTACATATATGGTATATGCATAACATGAAATATAGTTTTCAAAATACAACAACGTCATTCGATCCATGGAACATTTATTTACGTGATAGTTTGATTCGCGGAAGACTGTTGTACGTAATAATTTTGCGTGTCGTGTAAATACTGTTCTACATACTCTCGTTTGTCAAAATGATCGATGCAGGGTGCGGAAACTAACTGAGAATATGAGTGCGGAGTTACTGATAAATTGAATAAAAAAGATATGCGATGAATAGGCTGTTGATTGACTCTTGACGAAGAAAACTGCGTCGATGAGATATTTGGCACTAATATTGCAAAGTCTCCACGCAGTTATCCAGCGTAAAATAATTATTAACCGTACTCTAGTTCACCGATGTCGTACGGCTTTTATCTACCGCCTGTTTGGCGCAGCTCCTCCAGCTACAAATACACATCATGTATGTTTTAAAAAGAAATCGAAACTGTTTAATACCATAAAAAAAACTAACGAAGTCTTTGGTTGCGCACCTCTTTCTCATCGTCGACCTCGTCTTCGTCTTCGTCATCGGATCCGTGAACCGAAGCAGCAGGAGTAGTGTGTCTCGAAGATGAGGGCGATGGTGGTTCGCTGATTGGCCTTGGATAACTGAAACGGCCTACACCGCCTTCCGCGTATTCCGAAGCCAGTTCCGGATAAACGGTTGTTAAAGCCTTTATTCTGGCTTGACGATAGTACTGCAACAAAATGACCATGATTTAGAGCTCGATTTCGTTGCACCCGGGAAAATAACGATCGAATAGTTATGCTCACAATGCCAAGATTCCTCCAATCGAGCAAATCGCTGAGACGTTCGGTTCGGTTTCTTTGAATGATACGTTGTCGGCGACTGAGTCGCGCAAAATCGAACATGTAATGAGCCAATTGTTGAACGCTATTTTCCAAACCAATGAACCGTCTGTCTACGATGTAGATACCGTAACTCATGGGATCGGCTATATGGTCTTCCATAAAGCAACCGAAACCGGACAGATTCGTGGTGATGCTGGGTATGCCCATGACTGTGCACTCGGCGGGTGTGTAACCCCAAGGTTCATAATAGGACGGAAATACTCCCAAGTGGCATCCTCTGACAAACTCTTCGTAGTCAAGACCGAATAATGGATTCGTAGGTGAAAGGAACTCTGGATGGAATACTATCTGCAATTTGCAACACAGACAATGGCATTGTGTCCGACGCCTAACCGTAAATAGTGGCGTATCAAGTTACCTTTACGCGGTCGTTAACAGTGTTAAACAGATTGCATCTTCGGATCGAACTTAACACCGGATCGTTCCAATCGTCTACAATATTGTGTGTGGTAATCGGCGGTAAACCGTTCCTTTGCAAAGCGTATAAACACCTAGGATGAACAATCGTGTATTTTATATATGATTTTGAACTTGTTAAAACGATTAAAGAAATAATATAATTAGCCAACTAATTTCCGAATACCGTTTGATTTTAATGGTGTCTTCTTTCTGCAAAAGATCCTGAGCATCGGGCATACGTCCTGACAGACATAACTCGTACATGCGTTTGCCGATCTTCTGTTGAATATCGTTGATTGTGTCTCGCAACGCTTTGGTGACCTTCAACGGAAAAAGAACAAATCATTGGTAAACACGCGTGACATTATCTACTCGTTTGAGGTAAAAATCATTTGACTTACGGCATGACCTCGCAACGACTCGACATTGAAGTTATTTGTTCTCGCTGGGAAAATCAGGAAAGCGACTACCGTCGTGTCTGGTTTAGACGTTTTTAAATAGTGATTCAGTCTGGCGAGAGCTTCGATGAATATGTCCGCACCTTTGTTTCCAAATTCGTAGCGTCCAGCAATGAAGAAGTACAATGTTTTATCCAAATCGAAATCGTAGTGGCTAGAAAGATACACACGTACAAGACACGTGATATTTGTAAAAGTCTACCCCAATTAAACCTCATTATTTCTACACACCCGTAAAAATGTCCTCTAACGAACTCGTGTATTTTTTCTTTGCTGACAGCGTGCAAATTTTGGAATTCGTGCAAAGCGGCGAATTTCTTTACATTTAGCCCATTCGGAGTGATTATATCGGGCTTTCTTTTCAGTAAATGTTCCGCTTCGAAACCCGTTATCTCCGAAACAGTTGTGAATACATGAGCTAGATGCGTTGCTGCTCGTTCCATACAATATCTGTGATAAATCTGACGTTTTCCAGCTTCCTCGTCTACACTGAACTATAAAAAGAATATAAAATCAATAGAGGCAAACGACAACCTGATAGAATATCGATCTTCGATCGGGTCGAGTAGGATACCTTATCTAAATTGTTGTAAAAGTCAGTCTTTCCGGCACAGAGATATCTACCAAGAAGCGTGGCGTGCGTAGTGAAAACTGTAGCTACGTCTACGTGTCGGGTTCTCAAAGCGATCAAACCCACCCCCGCTTGCCATTCGTGGCAGTGAACTACTACACGGGGTGGAACGTCGGAATATCCCTCAGCGGCTTTCCTAAAATATAATTTCGATTGAATCGAGGAACATTAGACACAGTACGGCGTGGTGATATCTAATTATCTCTACCTGAATTCTGCAATAAATTGACAGACAAGATACCCAAGGATGACTGCATCGTTTGCCTCAATATCAAGATGAGGAATACCAAGGTTGCAGGTATTCCAGAGTTCTTGCTTGTACTCATCCAACTTCCAGGCTGCACTTCCAATGTCGAATAGGATTATTTGTGGGTTTCCGTCCACTAGCCAGGTTCCTGTTACCACCTCGAAAAGAACTCTTATTTTATAATAATATAGGCGGCATTGTATCGAAATATGTTCAAATTTTAGCTACTTTGTAGCAACCCGGGTAAAACAAGGAAGAGCAATGCATTTTATTTATCGGGGCAACTGCCCTTGGACTAATATTGGTCTCGAACTTGGTCTTTAGCCAAATCTTTATTCTTGGCATGGAATAAACAATTTTATCTCTACCGCTTTGACTTATGTACTTTGAATCTAGTCGGCTCTTTGTCTTTATCATTATTTTCTTGTCTTTCGTTACCCTGATTTTCTAATATATTTAATAAACGATGTTTCTATGCTTTTCGTGCTTACTTTGAATCCCTGATCACGAAGAACTTGAACGGCTATATTCAAGGGACTGTTTCGTGGAAATTCTGCTTCTTCGACTTCTGTTCTAGCAGAACTTTCTTTGTAAGGGCCAATGAGACAATATTGATCGCCCATCTCCTCCGTTGAAACAAATGCCTTGGAACGTATTACCGTATATATACCACCAACTAAAAGTAGCAAGTTTAAAATACAATGGTTACAATACGATTTGTCTCTGTAACAATAGTATCATAAATTCTTTATACCTTTATTGGCTGCCTCCCATGCGACTTCAAAGTTCCATCGGTTCTCATGTTGGGCAGTGTACCCACGATCCATAAATTCGAACAAATCATTGGTGCTGTCCACACGATAAAATCGTCTCGATGCCCTTTCCCTTGACATTTCACCAGCTTTTCTTTAATCTATGTCTGCGCAAAGTGTACTCAGATTAATAAATACCTATCGCAGTAATAATTATAAGAAATAATGAGAGAGAGAAAACATCCCGTATAAATATATATTTCAAATTCTAAAATAATTGTCTTCCTGTTTAGGTCCACACGGTGGGCTCTTTCTTGAAACTACACAGCACGTTTTATTTCGGATACTTACGGATTCACGATGGAAAATCGGCGTACAAAAATCTGTAAAATTTCAAAGCCAGATCACGAATCCAGCGCGATACGAGAATCTATCACCTTAAAACAATACGGTTCAATATCGAATTCAAGATAAGATCCGATCGATGTAAATAGCACGGTAAATCGCACCTTTAAATTGTACTGGCAGCTGGGACCACACCGTGTCAAGATCAAGATCAAGATCGATGTGATCGGAATTTAGCGCGAGCTACGTATCCGTCGCGAATACGATTCAAGTTCGACGGGGAAATATCGTGCTGCCGAATAGAGCACGTTGCGTCTACGGGTTTATCAGAGGTCAATGACAGGCGCCGAACTATTATGTACCACTTTTATTGGGTATGTTGAACCGTGCGACGCCCGTCGAGAGAGAAAAAAGAAAAAAGAAAAGCCAAAAATAAAGAATAATACTTACTCGAAACGCGAAGAAGATACGCTCGACTTTTTTGGCGGGAAGAAGTTCGTTGAGCAGTCTCGCCTCGAGATAATCGGAAAAATCCAAGAGAGGAGGAGCACAGGCGGGCGGACAGAACGTGCGAGTTCCGCGAGGCCAACCTCTACTGAAGGTCACCACAAACTACGAAAGGTCACAAGGGCTTACGACGGGGCCTGAAGTCGGGTTCCCGTTCCCGGCCTACTTTGTACGGCCGACGGACGAATCTTTGTTGGTTCGCTGATAAACGCATCACACTCGGATTTCTTTCGCAACGACAGATGGCACGAGATATCTCCTCGGGACCGTGTCACCAGTTTTTGGCTCGTGTTCAGCCTCTCCTCGGCTGTTCCTTCCGATCGACACGCGCATCCCACGTTTCGCCTACGTTCTCTGACGCATGGACACTTTATTTTCACGCAACTTTCGTTGCTCTTTTGCTTTCGTAAAACCTGCTATTATTACGGCGCGAGTCCGCGTAACGCGGATCACAAATTTAAATTACCGTTTCCGCCCTTGTACAACACGATTGGAAAAGCGTCGACAATTCCATGATCCCAGCGCAGTGCATCTCATTCGAACACGACGACCACTTACAAGACAATTACGGAAGCGTGTATACGAAAGAAATATTTGAAAGAGAAACCATGAAATTCTATTTGAATAAATACGCATGACCTTGGAACTATGTAGAAACGACCTCAAGAACAGATTCTTTCTATTTCTGCTTACGTTCCACGAAACAATATGACTTTGTTCTAAATATTTCGATGATTCCATTTCGCCGAGGCGCTCGAAATACCGGAGCACCGCTTTTCCCTGATCGAGGGTGAAATAACATGGTGGTATAATTAACGAATAATACAGCGAACTCTTGGCATCGAAGCAGGAGAAGCTGCATGAAACATCTATATAATCGAGCTCGTGTCGAAGGGGTTCGTTTCGAGTGGGAATCTCAGTCCGTAATCGCAATAAAATCACGTGTTATTGAGATAGTATGTCTGAAAAGTATTGCCCGGATCGGTAATGTTTTATTTTTAGAAGCGCTCGAGAGCATTACGAAAAATTTGAATTCGAAGTCGCGTGTAATTATTGCATAATATTGCAGCGCGTAGCATGCGGTAGACGTGACAATCGATCGATGAAAAATGGAACGGTTCGCGGCACCGGATTCACATGTTTTATTTGGATACTGTGTTGTATATAACACACGGATATAATTAGAATTCGTCAGAAATTGGGAGATCGGATCGAATCCGTTGCTATGCCAACTAATAATGCAGCCTAGATTAGATTTCCGCTGTTTCAACGATAAATACGTTTTACGGTGGAACAATAGCGTCGCGCGAACATAGAGGACTCTCATCGGAGACCGCTTTGTACCACAAGGTGTACCATCTATCCTTTCACCTTGTCTATGCCGCTACATAACAGGTGATTATGGTGGTCTGAATTGCGTCTTTTGCAGCGATTCTCTACTAAAAATAATTGATATTGTGAGACATAAACACGCGAAGAACTTGCAGGCATGGCGGTAAATATTGTTTATATAAATTATATCTATCTTTAATGGCTCGAACTGCGTATGTCAATGATATCGAGCACGGCATTGGATAAGCATGCTTTGTCTTCACCGGTTAACCTATACGTTTTAAATATGCATGCTTAGATATCGTAACAATACATTCCAGTTTCGAGTCGGATGATCTATAAAAGCATTGGAATCGAATTTTGGTATAAATGTTGCTCCGATTTCTTTTCTTCTATAACAGAAGTTTTAACGAGTTGCTATGGTAACGTTTGATCAATCGGTTTCACTTATTTCAGGCGGTTGCAGCTGCGAAGGTTCACGAGGTCCGTGAGATCACTAAGATAGAACGGATCGGTGCCCACTCTCACATCAGAGGTTTAGGCTTGGACGATAGCCTAGAACCACGCCATGTAATTATTTCGTTTCTAAATATTTCTTTATGTTCCAAAGCCCAAGGTCATTCGTGTTTACATTACTCTAATTTGATTAAATAGGTGTCTCAGGGTATGGTCGGTCAGTTGATGGCACGCCGGGCAGCCGGCGTTGTCCTGGAAATGATCAAAGATGGAAAAATAGCTGGTCGTGCTATATTGCTAGCCGGCCAGCCAGGCACCGGCAAAACTGCTATTGCCATGGCGATGGCTCAAGCCTTCGGCATGGACACACCCTTTACTTCTATGGCAGGCTCTGAAATTTATTCCTTGGAAATGAGCAAAACCGAAGCTCTGACGCAAGCTATTAGAAAATCTATCGGGGTCCGGATCAAGGAGGAAACGGAGATCATAGAAGGAGAAGTGGTTGAGATCCAGGTGGACAGACCTGCTACCGGAGTCGGCGCTAAAGTCGGTAAATTAACACTGAAAACGACAGAGATGGAGACAATCTACGACCTGGGGAATAAAATGATCGATAGCTTGATGAAGGAGAAAGTTGGTAGTCCGATGAGCAATCACGCTTGCTTCTACCGTTCGTATTCGAATCTAAATCGTTTCTCGATTCAAGGTGCAAGCTGGCGATGTGATCACGATCGACAAAGCGACGGGGAAGATCAACAGGCTGGGTAGATCGTTCACGAGAGCACGGGACTACGACGCGACCGGCTCGCAAACCCGATTCGTTCAATGTCCCGAGGGCGAACTGCAGAAACGCAAAGAGGTGGTGCACACGGTCTCGTTGCACGAGGTCGACGTGATAAATAGCAGAACGCACGGGTTCTTGGCATTGTTTTCCGGAGACACCGGAGAGATCAAGTCGGAGGTGCGCGATCAAATCAACGGCAAGGTCGTCGAATGGCGGGAGGAGGGAAAAGCGGAAATCGTCCCGGGTGTTCTCTTCATCGACGAAGTCCACATGCTGGACATCGAGTGCTTTTCGTTCCTGAACAGAGCGCTCGAGAACGAAATGGCTCCAGTGGTCATCATGGCCACAAACAGAGGTATATAATTCACTTCCTGTGTTAGGGGATAGCAACGACCTATCTCTGGATTTTCTAGGCATCACAAGGATCAGAGGAACAGACTACAAAAGCCCCCACGGTATTCCCATCGATCTCCTGGACCGCATGATCATCGTCCCAACAAGTCCCTATCAGGAGAAAGAGCTGAAGGAGATCTTGAAGATCAGGTGCGAGGAGGAGGACTGCGAGATGGCCGACGATGCCTTGACGGTGTTGACGAGGATCGCGCTGGAAACGTCGCTCAGATACGCGATTCAATTGATAACCACAGCTTCCATCGTTAGCCGACGAAGGAAGAGCAGCGAGGTAAATAGAAAATTCCGTAATCGAAATTTTCCACGCTGTCGCGGAGAGACGTACGCGGAATTCTAATCGAGAGTTTGCTCGCTAGGTGAACATCGAGGACGTGAAGCGCGTTTACTCGTTGTTCCTCGACGAAAATAGATCTGAACAGTTTCTCAAAGAATACCAAGACGACTTCCTGTTTAACGAAATATGTAAGTAGACCCGCGAACGCGCCAGAAATCTACACGTTCTGATCTTCGATGCATTTGTTGTTCCAGCGGAGGAGGCCATGGAGATAGCTTAACGATAGATAGGTAATAAATTTGATTCCTGATACACAAACGTTCTCAATAAACATTCGAAACTTTTGGTTAATCTATTTTATCTACTTTATCCAGGTTGTTCATGCGAATTTCAGTTACTGCGACTTCGAGAACGATGCTATATATTTCGAATTAAATACAATGAAAACTTAACAGAATCTCGTCCGCATCCCGACGACTACGGCTTGCTAATTTACGATCTACAAACGCTTATCGATTAGTCGTGCTCGCGCGATTAGTCGGCATTGATCGGATAACAGAGAGATATAATATGTAAATCAGTTTTTGGTGTAAAAAGTTGCCGGTAACAAACGCGACTTTCATATCAAAAATTCAACTTACGACTTACGAAATGCTCTCCCTACATTCTCTCTCTCTCTCTCACTCTCACTCTCGTGCATCACACGGCGAAACGTTCATTAATTCACAGCTCGTCGACGACGGATCCTCGGCTCGCTGATGGAAGAGCTATTCGTCCTTTTGATTCGCGCGCGTTTCGTCCTCGACGATCTTACGTTTTCTTCTCCTGGCCCTTTTTATCTGGAAATTAGAAAGTGATTGGGTTCAGAAAAGCGATCGATCGCTCGGTCGGATTCGTTCGCTTACTCGTGATCAGTTTCACGGCACCCTCCGGTTTGAACGAGGATTGGGTCTTCTTGTCCTTCGAGAGAACTCCGAGATTGTACACGACCTTGTAAACGGGAAGAGGTATCACCGTGGACGAAACTGGCACCATCACTGGAACACCGAACATTCGCTCGAATTAAAGGGATCCGCCAACGTTCTTCCGCGACATTATTATTATTCACGGTGAACACGTTCGCCTGAACACACAAGAGATCCGCGGAGACCGGGGTTACACGTTGCGTATTCGTTCCGGCAGCGACGCGTTAAACAAATAAAAGCCCCCGAGAGCGGAGAGGAACGGCGCCGCGGTTTCTCCGGCAGACGATGATCCTCGAAGCCGGCTTACGCTCGGGCAAATTCAAGCATCGTAAAACAATGGACCGTGCACGATGCTCTCCGGCGGACACATGCGCAGAATCACGGTCGTAGTCGCAGTCGGGTCACAGTCTCGCTCCGGTGAACAGGGAGGGTGGATAACGTACGATTCGAAACGAAACGATATCCGCGGTCCATCGAACGTTCACCCGCGCGGCGGAATTAACGGGAAATATTTGCTGATCGCTCTTAATCGAATATCGATTCGTTAAACAGACGGCGTCGACGTCCGCTGGTTGTTTAATTATTGGCTGTCGCGGCCCGTTGCCAGTCGGATGAAAATCGGGTCGCGTACCAGTGGCTCTTCCACCCCTGTTATTTCGAACACCCCGATGTCCCGATGCCACGGTTCGATCGACGAGATTCCACGGATAACGATACGCCGCCGACCGCGACCGCCGCTTTGTAACACGCTGATCCATCGCGAATGCAACAACGATCCCTGAATAAAAGAGGGGGTGGCGGAACGACGTTCGGTCGTTCGTTTTATTCTTTCGAATCGCGTATAGGATCTGTGCAGCGCGTCGGCTCGAGGGTCGATGTCGTCGCGCTCGTCAATGAAAGCGTTTCAAAACTTATCAATGTACAGTAATGTCTCCCTTACTGACGCTCAGGTTGTGTACGGATATGGACAATTTGGGAAGAGGAGATACGATCGTCCGAGCCTTGCGGCTCGTTTTTATAACTGTTGACAATTTATAACTGTAAAGACGAGCCAAAAGGCTCGAATAATTGTATCTCCTCTTGCTAAATTGTCCATTTTTCAGCACAACCTGAGCGTCAGTAAGGGAGACATTACTGTGTATCTATCCTTGGACAGGAATTCCAAATCTCGCGCGCTTCCGGCCGAAAGCGTTCGATCGCACCGTGCACGTCGACTCGAGAAATATTTCCGTCGAATCGAGTGCAATTATGAAACACGGCGATAAACGCGATCGCGTTTGCTTCGTCGCGACCTTCTCCTAATTGATATTTAATTGGGCTCCGAGTACCAACGTCGGCGTCTTTGTCCGACCGGCAGAACTTGTTCGTCGTCGGGGAAACGCTCTTTTCCGTGTTTCAAAAGGCATCGCGGACGCGGTTTCNCGCGATTAGTCGGCATTGATCGGATAACAGAGAGATATAATATGTAAATCAGTTTTTGGTGTAAAAAGTTGCCGGTAACAAACGCGACTTTCATATCAAAAATTCAACTTACGACTTACGAAATGCTCTCCCTACATTCTCTCTCTCTCTCTCACTCTCACTCTCGTGCATCACACGGCGAAACGTTCATTAATTCACAGCTCGTCGACGACGGATCCTCGGCTCGCTGATGGAAGAGCTATTCGTCCTTTTGATTCGCGCGCGTTTCGTCCTCGACGATCTTACGTTTTCTTCTCCTGGCCCTTTTTATCTGGAAATTAGAAAGTGATTGGGTTCAGAAAAGCGATCGATCGCTCGGTCGGATTCGTTCGCTTACTCGTGATCAGTTTCACGGCACCCTCCGGTTTGAACGAGGATTGGGTCTTCTTGTCCTTCGAGAGAACTCCGAGATTGTACACGACCTTGTAAACGGGAAGAGGTATCACCGTGGACGAAACTGGCACCATCACTGGAACACCGAACATTCGCTCGAATTAAAGGGATCCGCCAACGTTCTTCCGCGACATTATTATTATTCACGGTGAACACGTTCGCCTGAACACACAAGAGATCCGCGGAGACCGGGGTTACACGTTGCGTATTCGTTCCGGCAGCGACGCGTTAAACAAATAAAAGCCCCCGAGAGCGGAGAGGAACGGCGCCGCGGTTTCTCCGGCAGACGATGATCCTCGAAGCCGGCTTACGCTCGGGCAAATTCAAGCATCGTAAAACAATGGACCGTGCACGATGCTCTCCGGCGGACACATGCGCAGAATCACGGTCGTAGTCGCAGTCGGGTCACAGTCTCGCTCCGGTGAACAGGGAGGGTGGATAACGTACGATTCGAAACGAAACGATATCCGCGGTCCATCGAACGTTCACCCGCGCGGCGGAATTAACGGGAAATATTTGCTGATCGCTCTTAATCGAATATCGATTCGTTAAACAGACGGCGTCGACGTCCGCTGGTTGTTTAATTATTGGCTGTCGCGGCCCGTTGCCAGTCGGATGAAAATCGGGTCGCGTACCAGTGGCTCTTCCACCCCTGTTATTTCGAACACCCCGATGTCCCGATGCCACGGTTCGATCGACGAGATTCCACGGATAACGATACGCCGCCGACCGCGACCGCCGCTTTGTAACACGCTGATCCATCGCGAATGCAACAACGATCCCTGAATAAAAGAGGGGGTGGCGGAACGACGTTCGGTCGTTCGTTTTATTCTTTCGAATCGCGTATAGGATCTGTGCAGCGCGTCGGCTCGAGGGTCGATGTCGTCGCGCTCGTCAATGAAAGCGTTTCAAAACTTATCAATGTACAGTAATGTCTCCCTTACTGACGCTCAGGTTGTGTACGGATATGGACAATTTGGGAAGAGGAGATACGATCGTCCGAGCCTTGCGGCTCGTTTTTATAACTGTTGACAATTTATAACTGTAAAGACGAGCCAAAAGGCTCGAATAATTGTATCTCCTCTTGCTAAATTGTCCATTTTTCAGCACAACCTGAGCGTCAGTAAGGGAGACATTACTGTGTATCTATCCTTGGACAGGAATTCCAAATCTCGCGCGCTTCCGGCCGAAAGCGTTCGATCGCACCGTGCACGTCGACTCGAGAAATATTTCCGTCGAATCGAGTGCAATTATGAAACACGGCGATAAACGCGATCGCGTTTGCTTCGTCGCGACCTTCTCCTAATTGATATTTAATTGGGCTCCGAGTACCAACGTCGGCGTCTTTGTCCGACCGGCAGAACTTGTTCGTCGTCGGGGAAACGCTCTTTTCCGTGTTTCAAAAGGCATCGCGGACGCGGTTTCCGCGCGACGGGGGAACCGCAACGGAAACAGCACGCGACTCGTCGTTTCACGCGCAGATGCGGTAATCGGGAGCAGCGGATTTCGACGCGTCGACGCTTCGATCGGCACGCGGTTGCGTAATGTTGCGTCGCGAAACAAAAGCGACACGGAGATCGGGGGATTAAATGCGCGAAGGAATTAAACGTGGCGAGGAATTGTCAGCGGCGCGGCGTTCGGGCAGAAAATCGAAAGGTCGAGACGCGTGCTTGCACGGCGAGCGTGCACGTTTCCGAGGCGAGCTGACATTCCGTCAACTGGAATGTCACTTCGTACAGCATCGAGAGTTGGTATTTACTCGGATTAATTATCATACCGAGCCGGCAAATCGGGCAACCGAAGCGACGCACCCTGGTATGCACGCTCATGCACCGCTGGCCCAAGAGTTTCCAATCGCTCGCCGATCGCCGTTCGAACCGCAGCTCGCGCGCGGTTTTCTACGAAGATTGGTCGCTCGAATGTTGTTCCAGACAACGACGATTGATCTCGGGTATGTAAATTCAATGGAAACGACAGCGCGATATCCTGGCGCGGTCGATACCGGCTAATTGGGAACAAAATAATCGACGATGTCGAAATAATTCTGGAACGTCTCGCTCGCATTCCCGACCGTGCTCTCGTTCATAGCTTCGTTGGATATGGACTACTTGTCGCTGATTCGAGTAATTCAACCCTTTGCCCTCTCGACTATCTCCTGTTCGGCAACGCGGCGGAATGCGAAGGGTTGATCGATGGAGAAACCCGTTGCTCGGACAGAGAGCCGCTCGAAGCGATCGCCGCGTATCGGCGTCCAATCGCGAGCGGTATTTTGCAAAGCGGAGGAAAGGGTGCTCTAAAGAATTGACGCGAGTGTCAGTCGGGCGTCGTTGCGTTCCCGTGTCGCGGCGAACCGAGCAACACGGACAGCAAATCCTTTCGAATCGCATGCTCGCGTGCACGACCGCACTTTGTGCAACAACGCTTTGCTGCAACCGTTCCCCCGCGCTCCGTGCTCCCCTCTTTACTGTTCTTTTTTTTTTCTATCGGGCCTCCCCATCGCCTAGGAATCGCGAATCACGAATCGCAACGGCAGCCAAGGACGGCTCGGCGGAGGACAGCTTGGAACGTCGTCCTCTCGTATCCTCCGGAGGGGATCGTTGCCGCGTGGGCGTCCACCGACGATTTACGGATTCGTTTTTCCGGATCCCGAGCATCGCGGTCGAACAACAGATTAAAGCGGAACTTATGGGCACGGACAATGTTGCGGAGCCGAGCCGAACGAGTTCGCCAACCTCCGCTCCGGGCCGGCCAAGAGTTACGAACAGATTCCAACGCCAGGAATCGCGCGTGCGGATACCAGTATTGCAACATCGATCGGTTCTAATAATACGGCTAGAGAGAAATTGTCGCGGCGATTTGCCCGAAATCGCGGCCGCGTTCGATGCGGTTAAATTCTCCGATATATCGTCCCCGAGCTTGTAAACAGAAAAAAAGTGGACAATTCCGGAAGGGAAGACGCGATCGTTCGAGCCTCGGGGCTCGTTTTTACGATCGCGTCTGCTCTTCCGTGGAAACCGCACGCTTCCGTTTCCAAGCCGAGGGACAATTTCGGAGCCAATCGGAAGCCAATAAGCCGCTCGCGAGCTTATTTAGTCGGCGATATTTCAAATTATCGCTCGCAGAGAGCACAGCGTCTCGTCTTCGTCGTGACTCGAGCGTCAGGAGCAGCGACGGGCCGATACGAATATCAGCTAATTATGATTAATGGAAATCCCGCTGCACCGCTTGGCGGACGAGATTAATCTACCTTTCGAATTCTTCGCCGGGATTCGAATGCCTCGCGAGCCCGTCTTACCGATAATCGAACTTCTCGATGTTATTAAGAAGCCGATAACTCGGTGCCGCTAATGACCCAGTCGCTCGACGCCACCGGTGACCCGATAACTCGATTTTCTCAACAACCTAATCGTTCTCCGAGGCCTCGCCGCGGCGGACCAAGGCTTTCGCTTCTTCGCATCCCGAGAAGCTACTTTTCCGTCGGTCTATCGTCGCGACGATTCGACCGTTTCGTCGTTGCGATTCCGGCGGGAATCGCATCGGTGTCGCCGATTTCGCGCCGCAGCTCGGAATATTAATAACCGGAAGCTTCGCGAAGATCGATTCGTTGCTGCTAATATTCGTACGATGATTAGTTGCCGAGCAACCCCGTTTCTACGACGGTGTGTCCAATTTCTGCAGATTGCTCGGCAGAATCGCGACGCGCTTCGTTCGACCGGGATAAGCTTTGCCGAAGTCCAACCACGACTATTTAAACTCTGAAATGAAATTCGTGCACGGAAATTGATAACGGATCCCGCGGAACTTCCTCCCCCCTCCGCCGATGCGTTTTAAAGCAATCTCTGGCTCTGGCCGCTTCGTTCGGGCGAGCCTCGTTAATTCGTTTAACCGGAACTAATCCGACGCGTGGAACCGCGATCGTCTCGAGCGGAAAACTCGTCGACGCTCGCGGAAAGTTCTGCGAGGACCATTTTAGCAGATTTTCCGATCCCGGGGAGACCGAGGCGGCTCGCGATCGAGGACAGCTAAGTCCGCCGAGTCGAGGCTGCGATATTCGTTCGGAACAGCAGCCTCGCTATAATCGAAGCCCACGCTCTGCGAACTGACGTCATCTTCCCGTTATTCCCACCTGTCAAACGTCGCCTTGAGGAAATTTGGACGTCCGGGGATCGCCCTTTATTTGGCGAAGCGTCGCCGCGACGAGATCGCCGCGCGTTGCTCCGACATACGGCGCGAGAAAAAATTGTCGCGGTTCGAAAGACGCGTCGAAACCGCGAATATCGAGGCCGAAAGATCGAAGAACGGTTCGCGATATCTGTCGGAGAAACCGGCCGCGCTTTCATCGATTCTTTTCCCATCGTTTGTTGGCTTCGACATCGGCTGATGCCGCGCCGCGATTTACGCGCCTTGTCCGGCGCGAGCCGCGATTCGTTGGATCTTCTTTCGAAACGCGGTCGTCTTATCTGCGAGCCTAATGGTATTTTCGTGGCGTAATTATTCGTACGGTAATCTATTTATCGGCTTTTCGTTCCTTGTTAGCGACGCCGGTCTGACTAACAGGACAAACAAGAGTGCCTAACTCTCCCGGTGCTCCGCGAGAATTAGTCACCGGCACTTGCTGCAACTGTTGTGTCACGAGAGCGCTGAAACTCTGTTTGCCTTCGGCCAAGAAAATCTCGTGCTCTTTATTGGCTTCGTTGTTTGCTCTCAGGAAAATACGTGACCGAAGTCCTTCGAGCGCGTTCCCGTTCGAAAGCCGAGAGCCCCGAGTCCGCAGCGATTCGAACGCGAGCCGGTCTAACGTAATCGTTAATTAATTAACGCCGCGCGATCGTCTCGCAATTACGGGTCAACGATTATTCACGGTTACGCGGATGAACTCGTTATCGAGAGTCGACTAAATTCAACGACCGTCGATAATACGCGATTAAATTATGCAGCCGCTGTTCCGGTCGATCCTCTGCGTGCTCGGATAATTTGACCGACGCGTCGCTGAAATCTGTAACAACGCGGATCGCCGTGGCGAAACGTCTTGGATCCGTCGACGAGCCGTTTCACCGACGTTTTCCCGCGAGGATGAAAAGCCGGCGATCCGCGGTGCCCGTCGCCGCGGCGATCACGGTGAAAGTTTTTCTGCGTGGATCCACGCGCGACCAAGACCTCGATCTCACTTACGGCGAGACCGGAGAAAGAGAAAGAGAAACCGAAACTTTCGATTCTTTCGAAGACGCTGCCGGCCGGCCGGCGCCTGTTATCTCGATCAAAGGTTCACGCGCCAAGTGGCAGAACGCGATTTCGAAAAAACGCGAACGATCGCGAACGATCGCGGACGATGCTGCTCCGAGGATCAACCGAGGCGAACGGACACACCTTTGTGAACAGCGTTGCGTCGACGCTGACCTCCTGATCTAAAAAATGGCCGAAGATCCTCCGCGGATCTTCGCGACTATTTGCTCTCCTCTATTCGTTCCCCGATTACGTCACGGTAGCGCCGATTGCTCGAAAGAGTCGCGCGATCATCTATTAAATAAACATGCGGGATGCTAAATACGGTGGCGTCGACGATATTTATAGGCAATACGTAACAAGAGCAGCAAGACGCGCGCACCGCGGAAGGTGAAAAGGAGCGCGGAAAGACGCGAGCGAATAATATTTTTTACTACGAAGTAAGCGGAGGCGAACGAAGAGAGAGAGAGAGAGAGGGGAGGAGCGGGAAAGAATAGAGAAAACGCCTAGATTAATGCTACAGTGTCTTATAAGCTCCGATTCTGATGCTGGAAGCGGATTCGGAGAATACTCCTGAGAAATTAGCTGCGCGCGACATGCACCGGGTGTCCCGCGAATCACGGTGCAACGAACAACGAAATCTCCGAACGGAAGTAATGAAGCAATATTTCGTTCATAAAGTAATTAGATTCAAAGGAATTCGAGTTTGTTCGCCAGGCACTCGCGATCTTTCGAAGGGAATCGATCGGTACGTCCGTTCCTGGATCGATCGCAGTTTCGATCGCAATTCCGCGTGCATCGGAAAAATCGTCGAACCCGATCGCTCTTGAAAACGGCGAAATATTCGCGACGAATGTTCTCTCGTTTGTCGGTCGCGCGCGTTCGTTACAGGGACACCCTGTATTTTCATTTCGGCGAGAGAGCCTCGAACGAGAGACATTTCGCGTGCCGGCGGAAAAACCAGGGAAAACATTGGAGGAGGCTCGTCCGCGATGCATCCGGCGAGGACCATTGTTTCCCCGAAACGGGCAAATGTAATAAACCGTAAGCGGAATGAAACGCGGACCGTGAATAATTGGCTTCGACGGCCGACGCTGCGGTTTGCGGCCGCGTCGCGGGGAAAACGCAAATGGGCAACGAGGACGTTCAAGATTATGCTAAAAGGCTGCGGCTTCGTAGGGAAAAAAGTTGATGCACGCGTTGACACGATTTCGCGGGAGGCAGGGCACCGGGAACAGGACCTCGCTGCGAAATTAAACAATGTAGACCGCCGGAAAATGGGGGAGAAAAAAAGAGATCTCACGCACGGTTTCAGCGGCGCCAACCACGCGTGGAAATTGCTGCGCGAACGCGAGCGCACGACCGAGTTTTCCCTCGGGACGCGCACTTCAGAGCCCGTGTTCGTTTAATGGACGCGACGCGACGTCGAGAGAAAATAATGAATAGCATTTGTCAGGATTTCCCGCGTGCTGCTAGGACTCTTGCTTTTCACGCGAGATCTGTCGACACCGTGATCGAGTGACGCGCCGCGCGCTGGAAGTCCGATTGTAGTGCGAAACGAAAACGAAGCTGCTGTCGTTCGGGATTTTTCGCGGCTTAAATGCACGAAGCGTTGCCAAAGTGTTCTAAGATATTTTTAAATATTTTTTGAGGGCACGACAAAGCTGTGTGGCAAGCTCTTCCGCGAAAAGGAACGCGAGATCGTTGCTTCATCGTTATCGAAAGACGTCGCGCGAGCAGCGCGTTAACGAACGAAACGAAGCACGCTGTCGGATCCGGCGAGCGGAGAATTGTTCGCGAAAACGCGTAGACTCACCTGGCTCGAACACGTTGTCCTGATTCCGTTTGTAGATGGTGGGCTTGGCGTGCGCGATTGCGACGATCGCGAGAAACAGGAGCAGCAGGATGCTCTTAAAGCGAGACATCGTCGTTTTCATCGGGACACGACCGGTCGGAGATGGATACGTGCTCGCGACGGTGGTTCTCTTGACGATGTTTGGACCGGCACTACGCGCAGCTAAGACCAAAGAGGTGAAAACACTTGCCACGAGTGGGGAAAGCCGTGGATAAACAACGGATTTGCCGCTCTCCGCCGCATTTGCGGCTCTCTCGGACCTTCGAATACCCGCCGCTGATTCGCGAGCGATCGAGAACGCGGTTCTCCCAACTGTTTTCCCTCCCGCACCCTCTGGTCCCGCTTCGCCCGCATCAACCCCTTCGCCTCCTAAAAGGCCTTTCTACGAAAACGTTTTAATCTTCTAACACATTTTCTCAAGACGCCTAGAACTTAAAAGAATTAAAAGTTTCATCGATTAAATAACTTCGATTTCGTGCGAATTTCTCAGCTCGATTTTCGGCATTTAACGCGTCAACGTCGGGTACTCGCTTTCGCGAACGCCTTAGCATCGGTGTTACGGAGTTAGAACGAATCCTCGTCGATTTATGCGACAGATCTTGTTGTCTGTGATAGAGAATTCCGACGCCGGAGGTCTGGATAATTATCGTTCGGCGAATCGGCGCGAACAGCCGAACGTAAATCGAAGTTGGAAAGCGCGGTCGCGGTTGATCCGAGCTCCGAAACGAATTTCCCCGTTGTTTATAGGCCGTCGGGAAGACCACCCCACGCGTTTCACGCGTGCAAACGACGATTTCTTCTCGAGCAGCACCTTGCCCAGTTTTTTCTGGCCGATAAAAGGACTACCGAGAGTAAGGTGAATCATGTGAACGAACACGGAGACACGCCCACGCACACCGACGCGGTTGCGAGGAGAGCGAGAGATGAAGGAGAGCCGCGAGAGAGAGAGAGAGAGAGAGAGAGACGAAGGAGAGCCGGAGGAGCGACGGACAGGTAGCCTCGCGGAGAGCGAAGGCGTGCTCCGGGAGGAATCGCGAAGGCGCGTCAAGGATTTCTATTAATCATTGCCGGTATTCGTCATTTCGCGATCCGCCTCGCGGATTCTTGGCTAACGACCGCGAAACACGAGCAAAACGCTGCGTCGCGAAATAATACCGGCGAGCGGACCGCTCCGCTCCACGCGGCGTTCCAGCAGCTCCAGCTCGCGGGAAATTCGCTGGAACACCGGCGGTCTAATTGGTGTCCCCCGACAATTTTCCGCGACGAAGGGCCCTAATCGCTGAGTGGCTTTTCACCATAATTTCTATCCTCGGATCGCTGGAAACGCGACGAACGTAGCCCGCGTTTCCAACGGCGTTGGGCAACCGCGCGCGGCATCGAAACGGACGCGCGCGCGCTCCGTCTTCCAGATGTTTCTCGCGCCGGCCGCGTTAATTACTCCCGCAACGTTGATGAAGGATGGCACGGCGAAGGTGGAAATGCCGGGCGACCGCGCCGCGGGGTTCCGCAACAGGCGGAGACTCGTTCCCGCGAGTTCCCGCGAGGAAAACCGCGCGGAAAGAAGGCAACGAGCCGTGAACGGACGGGAAAGCCGGCGATGGAGCGTTGATTACGGGAAGGTTCGGCCGGTTCGGGTGCCGGGGCGGGCCTGTGACAGGAACGGCCGTGCCGGCCGACAGGCTCGACAATGGAAACTAGGTTAAAAAGTGAAAGGATCATGAGATTGGAGGAGGAGCGACGCCGCGGCACCTATTCGGCTCTCTTCTAGCCGGTATTCGCGCGCCGACAGCCGCGGCTCGAGGAACCCGCGGCGATTCCGTCCGCGCCGATATCGGCTTGGGATCCGGATCCGTTCCATTCACCATGTCAGAGAGGCTTCTTTAAAAAAAAAATGATCGACGATGAAACGGATCGACCGATTAGAAGGTTCTACGGCGATTAGAAACCGATAATGCCATCGAATGGTTAGCGGCCGACGCTAACGTTCGTGGCCGATCGTTTCTACTTTTATGGGTATCGTTGCCCGCTCGGCGAATTTTCGAACCGCGTAGCGGCAAGAAAGCGACGTTTTCCTTTCGTTTTCCTTTCGCTTTCCAACGCAACGACGCGCATCGACGTCCGCAGAAGCCGTCGCACGACTGCCTGTTACAAGCTTCGCGACCCGCGGATCGTAACGCGCGTTCCGCTCGCGTCGCCCCTCTCGTTTCTCGCGATCTCGAGCGGTTATTTTGCTTTATTCTCGCGCGACGAACGACTCGATCGAGTCGTTGGCCGAATAGTATCCGGAATGGCGGGGCGAAGGAAGGCCGTTCGATCGATTTGCATAGTCGACGCCGCCGGATCGAGGAGCAAATTCGAGCGGAGCCGCGTCAAGGAGCAAAGCACCGAATCCGACGGCGTTAACCGGCGATAATCCGTCAACGACGGGAAGACGAGCTGTCGGAATTGATACGGGAGAGCTCGAGGAAGATGACGCTGGACGTCGGAAGCTGGCAAACACGCGTCGCCGGTATTTTTTCCGGGCGTCCTCGCTCGCGGCTCGTTCGCATTATTCGCCTCTGCTCGGGACGCGGCACGGCAGTCCGAGCTACTTTGCGAGTACTTTATTCGAAAGTCAAAGGAGAATAGCACGGAACAATACACGCGCGGAACAATGCCGTCACCGAGCGATGAATATTCCGTATTCTCTCCGCCGCGAACTTCCGCGCAACTTTCGCGCGCGAACCTCCCAATTGGCGGCCGCGTTATTCTTCTTTCGATGCGGGAGTCGCGGGGAGATCCCCGAAATTCCCTTGCCGCGCGGATTTCGCCGAATTTTTCCATTCCGCGACGCTCCGACGCTGCGGAGCGTCCTTTCTACGCGACGCTACGCTCGCACGCTTCGATTTTCCGAGCAGCGTCGACGACGGTAATCCGTTCGTCGCGATCCGTGTCCCGAGGAAAAGCCGTCGCGAAGAAAAGCCGTCGAGGCTGCCGCGACCCGGACGGAACCAGCGACTCGAGCCGTCGCGTCGGATCCACTGGAAATTGCGACGACAATGGCCCGGATAGAGGTCCGAGGCGGAAGCATGCACGACGACACGTCCTGTTCTTGCCACGGATAATCCTGCCGTTTCCTCGTGCCGTTTCCTCGTGCCAGCCTCTGCTCTTGTATCGGCCGAAACTCGCGAGTCGGAATTACTCTGTCCAACCCTGCACGCCACCCTAGCCAATGGGGCGAGTCCTGTCAGCCACCGTGTCAGCCACCGTGTCAGCGACCGATCGGAACACCCTGCACGATGAGAGCAGCCAAATGGTGATCGATGTCATATTGCACGATGCCATTTTTTCCCAAAGAGTTGGCTAAAGTAAGACTTACGGTTCGACTGCGGTTCTTACAGATTTATAACAAGAATGAGTAGCTGTAATTGCGAAGAGAAGAAAGAGAAAACGAATGGAAGACCTACTGTCATTATTAAAGAAAGAAAGGAAAAGTTCCCGACCCTAGATTCTTGCAACGAATGCAGGCAATTCTTATTTCGCATGAAAATCCGCAGTCTGCTTGCGATATATAGTAATTTCTCCTTAATTATCGTTCAGATTGTGCACAAAAATGGACAATTTGGGAAGAGGAGATACGATCGTTCGAGGCGTGTAGCTCGTTTTTTACCGTTGTCGACACTTCGTAGCTATAAAAGCGAACCGCGAGGCGTATCTCCTCTTCCCGAATTGTCCATTTCCGTGGACAATTCGAGCGTCAATTAGAGAGACATTACTGTATTTTTCGCCGCAAGTTTCCCAACGATTCTGTCCGAGCATCTTGGAAAAGTTCCACCCGAATGCTTCAACGGTTCTCTTGAACGCTGAAATAGAGGCAGAAACGAGCTTAATTGTTCCATTCGGGATGGGATTGATCGGCGAGCAGTATCCAGGATGCTCGATTCGCGGCCGTCGGAACAGTCGATATGGTAAACGGATGGCGAGAAGCCGCAGGCAACAAGGGAATCCGTTTCAAAGGGAAACTCGGCCGGTGCTCCCTTTGGTCGCAGGATCTCTGCGCGATCGAGGAAACCGATCTCGTTGCCGTTAGCCGACGCGAACGCCGTGGACTCGGTTAACGGGTTAGTGGAGTAAGAACGGCGGCGGTGTATGATTCCGGGATCGTATAATCCCCCTTTAAGCTTCGCGTCGTGTGCGAGGCGATCGAAACGACGTTTATGGGTCGGGCACCTTTGAAATCCAGCGGTCGCGACGAGAGCACGCCGCATCGATATCTCGTCTCGCGTCGGGATAACGTCGGTTCGATACCGGGGTTCCTCACGGATTTTACACGAATGTGCACTCGGTCGAGCACAATGGACACCCGGCCGGTGACTAAGCCGCGTTTCCGGCGCGAGGGTGAGATCTTCCATCGGCGAGCCGAGCGGAGCCCCTCGGTGCTATCCCACCGACAACCGCGTGATTAATGAACGACTCGCGAGGAAAAATCCTCGGGCCCTAATGCCGCTTCCTTCCGATCCGGAATCACGTCCCCGACTATCCGGCGAATTTTCAATTCCTCGCTCGAGCTCGTTTACCCTTTCTCTCTCTCTCTCCTCGACGGCGAGATCGATGCTCTTTCCAGCGCAATTAACGCGTTTGTATTTCCACGCCGACGACGGCGGGGCGTTCCGAAATTCTTACGAAATTTCCGCACCGTTTTCGATTTCACGGCACCCCGCGGTCTTCTCTCTGCCCTTCCACGCGGAAACGCGGAAAATTCAGCGAGTCTACTCTCTCTCCGTGCTCGTCGACGCGCGCGGAATCGGATTAATTAAGAACAGGCGGCTGTTGAGCGGCTAATCAGGAATTGATAAATGGCGGCGGTGGTTCGTTCGGTAAACAGGTGAGAGACAGCGCGTGTAGTCGAGGGTCTTTCCAGCGGATCATTAAGGAAAACAAGCGAACCCTTAGAAGCGCTAATGCCGAGCGAGGCGAGCGAGCGAGTTTGCGGAGGCGCGGCCCGAGCTCGTAGTCGCTGATAACGCACGTTACGGGTATCTTCCTGCCGGGGCGGCGTTGATAAGACAGCCGAAAGGTTAATACGGGCTTCGTGGAAATTCGGAGGAGGTCCGGGGGAAGCTTCGGCTCGGCGGCGAAGCAATCGCGAGGAAAACGGCCGCGCGTATTTCTCCGCGCGGAAAGCAATCTTCTTCGGGGCCTTGCGTCCAGGTCGGGGCGATCCGCTGCAGAATTTTCCGAATTCC